GACTTTGCAATGGTTGAATTGCTGTCAAAAAATGATGTATCACTACGCCATAATGTAATCAGGTTCAGTAAAAAAAGTGAAATCTATAGCAAAGAATTACATTTATATATTTGTGCATAAGAAAGGATTGGGTGATAAATAAAATCTCCTTATCGTCTTTTTTGATATCAAAATATATCAACACTCGTCGATAAAGTAAAAAAAACAAACTCGACAGAGCCTCGTTTTTTTGTTACTTTATCGACATACTCTTCAAAAACAGAAACGCATAGACAGTTTTTCATCATTTTTATTTTATTTAAAAGGGGTCGTTGTTTCCATAAATCTTGCTTGTTTTTAATGTTATTATGTAAGGATAAAAGAAAGTCATGATTGGTTTTAAATGTAGGGTCACTAATTGTGGCTGGTGCCGAAATTTGTTTTCGCTTGATTGCACCAAGACAAGATAAATGAGTTTAACAACTTTGCAAGCTTTTCGCATGAAACTCAAATCTAAGGCTTTTAAAATCCCGGGGTTCTCGGTTTCAAAATCAGTTGCACATGTAAACACTCGAAAAGCCAAGTGATGCCGCATTCGAACGAAGACCAACGCAACAACAGTATCGGTCTGTTACAAGCAGGTTAATCCCAGACATATGTAGCCAGGCTGCATGCTGTTTCCGGGAGTACCATCTCTGGCCTTTGGGATAGGTACCGACAGCGAAATTCAACACGTGACCGCCCAAGCTCAGGCCAAACAAGAGTAACCTCACCTGTCATGGATGGTCACATCCGGTTACGTCATTCGACGTACATAAAAATTGTAAAACAACACTTTTTACGATAAAAGTGACACGACCGTGTGCCTTATCCTTTACCATTAGAGCTGTTTAAAAGTCATATACAATGGTATATTTCTCTCGTTACATGTCCAAATCGAGATAAGAAAATTCTGCCAATACAGTGTCCATTTATTATCTTCTATTTTTAAGTCTCTATCAACCAGAAAAATATTCTATGAATATTAGTTTGGATGCGTTGTCAACATTTAAGAATAATAGGTCATTTGCCAAATTATCCGGTCATTAATATTATCATAACAAAGTTTAAGGGAGGTAACTAGTCCTAAAACATTAATTTAAGGATGTCATTTCAGAAAATCCATTTGATTGCATTGCCAGTTCAATATCCAACACTTTTTTTTATTATTGTAAAATTTCTCTCTTCATGTGTCATATCTATGTGTTTTTTGTGTTTGATTTTTTTTTTTTATTAATCCTAATTCGTCGTCACGATTTATGTTTGTTTATAATAATGAAGGAATTATGGGATTTATTGTGGGAAGGGGTGCAACTCTTACTTGACTTGGCCAAAAATACTGGATAATCAACCACATAAAAAAAAACGGTTACGCATGGGCAATGGCACACTGATCCGCAGTGAATATTCGCTTGGCCACTACAATCACTGATAAGGATGACATCGATGCGACTTAATGACTACAAAATATTAACTTTTTTCTTTCGACAAATTAAATTCTGAAACATTTTTTTTTAGTATTAGAAAAATAAATATAGGGGTTTGAAGTATATCTTGATAAAAATATTCCATAATTAGCGTAAATAGGTACAGAAAATAGTACGCGGAGGCGTAAAATGGGCAAAACGATATAATTCTGCCCGTACCAGTTCATATTACTACGTTCGATGTAAACAACGCACGTGTGACCATCAATTTGACGTTTTTTTCTGTTTGTTTACTCTGAATTCTTTCGGAAGTACACTTTTCACCGTCTAATCTGATTGACCTTCTCGTGTTTGTTTACAAGCCACAGAAGTAATCTTTTTTGGCGTTATCGATGCCATCTTGCTTTGTTGGTAAACATTGTGATGTGACGTCACCCTTAGAACTACAGCGGTCTGACCTTTTAAAGGTCAGTCATCTTGGACAGAGATAAAAGGCGGATGTCGCATTAGGTCTGTAAAACAGATTGGGGCAATGGAACTAGGCGGTTCTGGGTAACCAAGACTAATTTTGAACTGTTAATTATTCTGTTCCGAGCGGTTTATCATGCTGTCATTGATATTTTTTGATATAAATGTGTAATTATAAAATGCAAATTTAATAATGTTTATGCTTAAACGTATGTTATAATAAAGAAACGTAAGAAAATAATAAAATAAAATATTAAAGGAAATTAAACGAACTATAGTAGGCCTACTAGTAGCGAAAAAATTCGAAAGTGGACATTTTGCGAGATTGAAACAAAGGTCCATAAGAATAGCTTTTCTACTTAGTTCAAAATTACATTGTCAAAAACTTTCGGAAATTTAGATTTGTATTTTGTCCATGTATATGTTATTGTTCAAGTATCGTTTGTGTTTAACCAAGTAGGGTATCATAAAAAAACCTTTATGTTAAGGCTCTTGCAAGGGAGCTAGCATATGCAAAACCGATGTCATTCGCATAATAATATGCGTTTAGTGTCGGGTGGAACGGTTTCCCAAAGGCACTATGCAAATTACCCGGATGAAAACAATTATGGCGGTTGATTTAGTTTGGGCAGCCATTTAACCGTGTCGTGCCCGACACCGTGCCGAGACCACTCACGGCCATGGCACGGTACTTCGCAATCTCGATCTCAAGAGATAACTTTACCTTCTTCTAAAACTCGCCGACCCCCCCCCCCCCCCCAGTACCTACTGATTGGCAGGATTTGGTAGAATGAAATGCTGCTGATTTCAAAATGGCCGGCGAGGTTTACCAGAGATAAACGAAGGCCAAATTTATCTCTGGGATTGGGTACTCAGTGCGGCACGCTTATGTTTGACCCATTTACACTATCAAAAAAATAAAATAAAATAACCGTGCCGCACGTGCCTGGTACGCTTCAAATTTGTAATGTAAACGTTGTTATGGTTCGTACTTGGTTTTATTTTATTTAGAACTAGCCGAGAGACAGCTGATGTTTAGCGCCAGATAAAGACGCATGGAGGATCTGGCGCACTAAGTCCGTGGTGAAGTCCATTTTAAATGAAAACGTGAAGTACAAGGTTAGGTGCCTTGACTCTGGATAGTGTTGCACGCAACGATTGACTGTCGTGAAAAAGACTGTGTAGCAGGATTTGGCAATTAATGACCAGGATAGGCTTCCATATAATATTCAACCTGATATGCTACAAGTTGGACAGACGACCCCATTCCTTTGAATCGAAACCAGACCAATTGATTCAATGACAGGCCTTATGAAGCAAAGCACACGCGTTAGGTCTTTCGGTCACATCCCTCTCTTTCACCGTTTGGTATTTTTCTAAAAAATATTTCAAGGCACGTAATTTCATCATTAAACATTTTCAGTTCATTTGGCTCTATCTTTTTGGTGACTTTTAACAATGACAGAATATAAATGACACAATACTCTTCCCCAATCACAATATCATCGGTCCTCTTAGTGCAGAGAGTAAAGTTAAAGTTGTAACAATTTCAAGACATGCCCTTTAAAAGATTATATACACTGGCCAGAAGTTTAAGAATACACAGAACAAATGTGACACATTGTTTAAATTTGTAAGCTGGTGCACAGTTCATTTTGTCTGTCGTGACACAAGTAGCGTCATGTGTATCTACCGTTGAAAACAAAACCAACATATCAACGGCAGATAATAGAAGCCGATAAAAAGATGTCAGCCAAGATTACAGATGTCGTCGACACTGAATGTCGGATGTTGATACAGTCTCTGTTCATCATAATTATCTTTGTTAATACTGAACGGGAATAAGATATTTTGGACTCGTATTACCTTGGCTTTAGAGTAAACTTTTAAAATATTACAATTTGCAAGGGACAATATATCCCTCAAATGACAATTATAGGCTCGACGACCCACTTCACGAGTTGTCACTTTTGGTATGTTTGTATGTCTTCTACATGTAATTGTTCCCATAGTAGTTAGTATGCTACTTCGGGGTGGTGAGTTATCTCCCTCGCAGAGCTAGTTCACTTTTCATAGCGATATGTTTTCATGGTAAGGACACTAGATATCGCAATTAACAGATATTATGTGACATGACCGAATTCCGTGACACTGCAATTTGGTCAACTGTGAGCCTTACAGAATGACAACTGACCATGGTCTGTGCAATGTATCAAACCACAGAGAGAGAGAGAGAGAGAGAAATGAAGTTTAACGCTCACTCGACACAAACTAGGTCATTTCGGGACTAACATATGGTTTAATTTTTTTTTTATTTCAATAATTCGCTTGCGCGTAGGGGCAAACCACACAGATTCACAGGCCAAGTTTTTAACTTTTCAATAAGATTCCATTAAGTTTGTTCATTGGCATTATGCCATTGTATACTGTACTATTCTGTCTCGTACTATGGTACATACCACAGTATTCTGTTCTGTACCATGGTACATATCCTGCGATACCGCAAGACTGATATTGTTCAGTGCAATGATCGACCGGGTCACCACAGTGGCGAAGTGGGTAAGGCGTTAGCTCGCTAGCCTGTAGGTTGCATGTTCAATCTCTGCATTGGCCGAGAGTTAATTGTGATTTTCCGACAGTGGTCAGTGGTGCAGGACGGAGGGCCCGACAAGGACAGCTGTCTAGTCGTTGGGATGGGATGGAAAACCAAGGTCACAGGTATACATTGGCATGCACATAAAAGATCCCTTGGCAGTTGGAATTTGATATAAGAGCAGGCCATTGTGTCGCTGCCCGGGCAAAATTCCCCTCATAGCACACTGTATGGCATATGTCTGTTTTCATCAATAATCGACCATGCAAAGAATAAATATATTAATTTACAATTCTCACTAATTGTTTCGAATATAACTTTTATTTATGACCATTTAAGTTTTGAAACCAGTTTTATTATAAACATCAAGTTTTCAGCTATCTGTAGCATATGTAAATAAACAAACCTCACAATGAAAATTCTAGTGTGACATAACGCATTTCTTTATACTCCACAGTAAGCCTGCACAAAGAAAATATCATGGCAAACCTCTATAATAATAATCTTAGCATTAGGGTTGCTTTATTAAATTTCACTATACAGTTAATGATATCACTATAAAATTTTTTAACCATAACATTTTTCATTATAATGTCATATGCTTTTCTAAAATGTCAGAGTTTTCATTATCATATTGGAGAATGTAATTAACAGAATGATTTAGCTAGAGCCACAGTATGATCTACTCCACAATATACAGACACTGCTTCAGCTGGTAAAGATACCTACAAAATATTAAAATATAAATTCTTTTATTAACTCAAATGGGTAGCTTTCAAGCTTTGTATTAACTCAAATAGAACAATACAAGTAGTGGGTAGCTTTTCAGATTGTTATTCGAAATAAAATACTTCAATTCTATATATTACCAGTAACCCTAAATGGACTAATATAAGTTCTATATAATGATACCTACAATATATAACTTTAATGTAGAACCTTATCTGAGCGTACAAATTAAAGTTTATTAACTAACAGTTGAAAGTTAAATGTTTATAGTGCAGCTTTACTTCATGGGCCATTCAATGTCAATTGGACAAAATTCTAAGAAAGTCGCCCCCTCAGAATATTATGAAAAAAATATAAGTTATATTACATATAAACTTATGTAAAACTGCGAAGTTATATGACTCTAGCATTAATATTGACTGAGATATGGCCTTTTGAAACTACTATTCTATGATTCGATTTTCGTGTACTGGTTTTATATCTTCTAGTAACAGTTAGACAATATTCTTCAAATTTGGAAAAACTTTTTAAGTAGACTAAAAATCCTTTATCAGAATTTCCGAACAAGTGGCGTTCATTACGTGCCAAAAATCATTACTTGTGAGAAAAAAAATCAATATTTTGAAACAATGTAGGAATGTTACTACAGTATATTATCGGTTGTTAGTTGTCACATGTATAGTGTATCCATACAGGATATAGAAGCTATGGGTTGCCACATGATTGCTTTTTATAGGGTGTGATTTGATGATAATCAGAGTATTGGAAGTTAATTTTGTATGTACTATAACATATATTTTTTTCACAATATTCTATGGGGGTCAGCCGACAAGCACTGGTCCACTTGACATGGAATTACCCTCATATTACATGCAATCATGGAAATAATGCACTGTCATAGACATCATGTCAGGCACAAATTCAAACTTTGTTGGATCTGTTACCTGTCATTTGTAGGGCACAGATTTACTTTTCTTCTGTTGTTTACTCATATTTCTATTGTACGCCCGGGTTATCTTTTTATTTTCTGCTTTATTGATATTTTTATAGTGCAAAGATACAAATATCAGAACAACAAAAATCACTATTTCTTAGTCTGATTATAGGTGGCTATAACTTTATAAAATTTCTAGACTATGACCTGAAAGAGTTGTATACAAAACGTAATACAAAACGAATCCATCAAAACGATTAGACACATTTTCCATGTCAGAAACCCAGGAGTCAACAAAGAAAAACAGTAACGAAGCTTGAAAAATCATGATATTTCCTCTAAGGGCATTTGGGCAAGGTTTTCACAAAAAAAAAAAAGAATTTTAGATCCTACCTTTAGTGGAAAAAACTGATCAGTTTCCTTACCAAGACCAATACAACCATATTTATTTTTACCCCATGAAAATATATCCCCCTTATCTGAAACATAGAATGTATGAATATAAATCACTGTTATATGAAAAAAAAAAGAGAAAGTAAATCACTTTTATCTGAAATGTAGAGAAAATATATCACCTTTATCTGAAATATAGACAAAATGTATCGTCATCATCTGAAATATAGACAAAATATATCCCAATTATCTGAAATATAGAAAAAATATATCCCCTTTACCGGAAATAGAGAGAAAAATGTCCCTTTTATCTGAAATACAGAGAAAATAAATCACTTTTATCTGAAATAGATAAAAAAATATCACTGAAATATAGATGAAATATATCACCTTTATCTGAAATATAGATGAAAAATAAATATTTGCCTTTGACAGAGGGTATTGCATATAACAATGTTTAGTTGCTCGGATGGGCTTAAAACTGAGGTCCAGTGTACACACGGGGTTTAACGGCAACTCGACACAAACTAAGTCATTTCGGGACTAACATTTGGTTCACTTTTATTTCAATAATTCGCTTGCGCGTAGGGGTCTTTAGCAGTGTGAGAAAACCGGAGGACCCAGAGAAAACCCACGAGGTTGGACAGGCGACCTAACTCCTTGTCAAGTATAACCAGGGAATCGAAACCACACAAGTTAACTCAATGACAGACCTTATGATACAGCGCGCACATGCTAACCATTTGACCATCCAAGCCGCCCTCCAGAGATTGGAACCATAAATTTATGAATCCATGACAGACCCCATGATCTAATCCCTGGAGGTCATAGGCAAAGTGAGATTATGACGAATCCAAAAATTTTCATTACCTAAATTATAATACTTTGAATGCTTAGAGAGATTCCAATATTTTAGAAAGAGAACAGTTCATTATGTAAAGAATATTTTAAAAAAAAAAAAAAAAAATCTCCATTGTTTATCAATTCCCTAAAACTGGAAAAAATATACTACCTGTTAATGCAACAAAATGACCCAACCCACAAACGATGTCAAGAACTTTGACCTCCGGCTGTAGTTCGTTCTGCCCAAATAAGGCTTGGGGTAATTTGGAAGGTTCCATACACATGTCCAACTTTGGTCCTTTACCCAGAATACCATAGCCCCAAACATATACTTCATTTTTACCTAAAATCAAGAGGAGGGGTTTCAAAATCCTCTAAACAAAAGCTAGGTCATTTTGGGACTAACATATGACATAATAACTTATTTCAATAAATTGCTGAGAGTGGAGATCTTTAACAGTGGGAATAATTCTGGACAGGACATCATTAAGATTGTCAGACATTCGTGCAGTTGTTTCTCTTTCGATGGGTGGTGGTTCTCAAATGTTAAGCCTCCCTTACCTTAGCAGCATCTTGGGTGGTTACCGCTTCGTCTTAACTAGACGATCAATAACAGATGGTGTTTAAAGTCTATTAAACAGAAACTAGGTCATTTCAGGACTAACATGGGATAAATCTAATTCCATAATCCTCCTGTGTGTAGGTTTTTTTTATCCGTGGGGTTATTACTCCTTGTCATATACAGCTTTGAAAGGAATCATTTGATTCAGGCACGCATTAGACCATTCGCCTGGCTGGCTTCATTAACCCTAGTCGAGGAGAACAGTAGGACGTTAACCCCATTTCATTTATCTGGAGCACTCGCTCCCTTACTCCCCCACAAAAAATCAAACAAACTGCAGTGGATTTTAATTGTGATAGCAAGGAATGGAAAAGAGTCTGGTAAACACTAACAAAAAAAACTTACTATTTAAAATCGCGCAAACTGAACCCCCAGCAACAGCCTTGATAATCTTTCCACAATACTTTGTAATTGGTAGATGACGGGGAATGTTGACTTGTGTCTCCTCGGTTACCATTGACAACTGATTATATTCAGAGTTACCCCATCCAAATACTTCACCATTTTCTAAACATATAAATTGATATAGATAGAATATATATAAATTCAGCATTTTTCTGTCCAATTTTAGTTCATGCACACATATGGTGTTACTCAAATAGAGAGAGAGAGAGAGAAAGAGAGAGAGAGAGAGAGGGGGGGTAACATCCACTCGACACAAACTAGGCCATTTCGGAACTAACATATGGTTTAATTTTATTTCAACAATTCGCTTGCACATAGGGGTCTTTAGCAGTGGGGGGAAACCGGAGGACCCTGAGATAACCCATTAGGTTGGACACGCGACCCTTCTCCTTTTCATGTACAACCGGGGAATCGAAACCATGCTAGTTATATCAATGACAGAACTTATGATGCAGCGCGCACGCGCTAACCATTCGCCATCCACCCCTTAACTATAAAAGGCATCTGTAACCCTTAAAAAATATAGCAGGAGCAGATTTAGTAGTATGTTAGACGCACTATGTGACCCTAGCGAGTCAGCGTCTTACCCACCGTGACCCCCCACTTTAAATCCACATTTTTTCTGGGCCACCCGAGGATATATATGAGTATGCCTGTTAAAATCAAAGTCCTTTCAGATAATTTTATATCATATATCAGATGAAATAAATAATTAATTAATGAGCCACTTTTTTATATTTTGAAATAAAACAGGTCATGCGACCCTTTTGAAGTGACGCAAAATTATCTGAGAACCGGAATATCTTTTTTATATGGTCTAATGTTCAAATGCATGACATTTTGTCCGCTGGTTCGTAACAAGGGTTGATACATGTGGTATAAGGTTTAAGTACTTGTATTATTAATAATGTTCAAATGCTTGACATTTTGTCCGCTGGTTTGTCGTCTGGGTTTCAGTTGGGTTGTAATGTGTGGTATAATGTTTAAGTACTTTTATCATTAATAATGTTAAGATATTTTATACCTTGTCCACTGGTTTGGGTGGCCGAATGGTTAAAGTATTAGTCGGTGAGTCAAGTGGCATGTTTTCGATTTCCTGCATGTATGGGTAGGGTCCAACCTTGTGGGTTTTCTCAGGGTCCTCCGGTTTCCTCCCACCACTAAACATCCCTACGCGCTAGCAAATTATTGAAATAAAATTGAACCATATGTAAGGCACAATTTTTCTCTCTCTATGTCCGCTGTTTTGTCGTCAGGGTTTGGTTGTTAGTTGCGGTATAATGTTTTCTATAACTCACCTGATATACCTAGAACACAATCACCTTTACTGGATATAGACACTATCTTTTCTCCTTCTATATCACCCTTTAACCTTGTTGGTTTATCAATATTATTATAATGGCCTAAACCTATAATGAATGAATGAAATGGGGTTAACATCCTACTGTTCTGCACCTACCAGGCTAATGAATTCCAACTCTAATGGGTTCTTTTACGTGCACACCAACATGTACACAGGTACTCAGTTTTCCATCTTATTTGAACAACTAGACACTGTCCTTGCTAAGCCCTGCATCCTGCACCAATGACACAAGAAAACCATCCTGAAAAATCCTGATGAACTATAACCATAATAGCTCAAGTTAGTAAACTCTCTATCAAGGTGACTCGGTGAGTATAATACTGCCTTAGTATTCTAATCATCTATAATTATTGTATGAAGTATTTAATGCTGCCCTTGTATTCTATTCATCTATAATCATTGTAGGAAGTATTTAATACTGCCTTAGTATTCTAATCATCTATAATTATTGTATGAAGTATTTAATGCTGCCCTTGTATTCTAATCATCTATAATCATTGTAGGAAGTATTTAATACTGCCCTAGTATTCTAATCACCTATAATTATTGTATGAAGTATTTAATGCTGCCCTTGTATTCTAATCATCTATAATCATTGTAGGAAGTATTTAATACTGCCTTAGTATTCTAATCACCTATAATTATTGTAGGAAGTATTTAATACTGCCCTAGTATTCTAATTACCTATAATTATTGTAGGAAGTATTTAATACTGCCCTAGTATTCTAATCACCGATTATTATTGTAGGAGGTATTTAATGCTGCCCTAGTATTCTAATCACCTATAATCATTGTATAAAGTATTTAATGCTGCCCTAGTATTCTAATCATCTATGCTGCCCTAGTATTCTAATCACCTATAATCATTGTATGAAGTATTTAATGCTGCCCTAGTATTCTAATCATCTATAATCATTGTTGGAAGTATTTAATACTGCCCTAGTATTCTAATCACCTATAATTATTGTAGGAAGTATTTAATACTGCCCTAGTATTCTAATTACCTATAATTATTGTATGAAGTATTTAATACTGCCCTAGTATTCTAATCACCGATAATTATTGTAGGAGGTATTTAATGCTGCCCTAGTATTCTAATCACCTATAATCTTGTATGAAGTATTTAATGCTGCCCTAGTATTCTAATCATCTATAATCATTGTTGGAAGTATTTAATACTGCCCTAGTATTCTAATCACCTATAATTATTGTAGGAAGTATTTAATACTGCCCTAGTATTCTAATCACCTATAATTATTGTAGGAAGTATTTAATGCTGCCCTAGTATTCTATTCACCTATAATTATTGTAGGAAGAATTTAATGCTGCCCTAGTATTCTAATCACCTATAATTATTGTGGGAGGTATTTAATGCTGTCCTAGTATTATGGGAACCTGTAATTGCTGTTGGAAGTATTTACTGCTGCCGTAGTATTGTGGTTGATAACCTATAATTATTGTAAGAAGTATTCACTGCTGCCCTAGTTTTATTTTAACCCATTACTATTGAAGGAAGTATGTACTTCTTACCTGTTTGTCCATCTGCACCTAGTCCACAACTATACACATGTCCTTCTTCCGTTAAAAACATGGTATGGTCCTGTCCACATTCTACCTGCAAAAAACAGAAGATACTCATTAAAGTCTTGATGCATAGTTTTAAGCAAAAGGTATCCTTTGCAAACTACAATAAAGGTGAATCTGAAATAGGAATATCATTCCAGAAATGGTTCAATTCTATTCAGCATTTACAAAATTATGTAAATTGAAATTTCATCAATCTAGGCCTTAAATCCAAGCCAGAGAGCTATCTAGCATTGGTATTTTGATCATTCTTAATTATATGTTAAATAATCAATCTGAGGACATATTAGCGTGGGTTAAGCCGTGACAAATTTGATATTTTACAACAAATTCCAATCGCACATCGTTACTCGAGTTTACAGACGCATTTTATTTGAAATTGATGTCCAGATAAGTGAAATTCCAGACCAATCAAATTATTCGTAACAGTCTAGGAAGCTGTTTTTTATGGTGGATTTGGGGAATTTCAATCCGAGTACATATTAGCCAGCACATTTATCTTTTAATAAAGTATCTAGCAATCACATTGTTTATCACTATTCTAATCTTGTATTCTCAAGATTTTGTGCTACATACCTTGACTATATTATCTGGTAAATCAGTTAAAACATTTACTCTTGGATTCTTTCTGAAAAAAAATGATATCCGGGTTAATAAAAACGGGCATATGCCATACAGTGTGCTATGAGGAAAATTTTGCCAGACAGCCGTGCTACAGCCTACTCCTATACCAAATTCCAACTGCCAAGGGATCTTTTATGTGCACGCCAATGTGTACACGGGACCTCAGTTTCTCATCCCATCTGAACAACTATGTATTGTCTCTTGCCAGGCCCTCGATCCTGCACCACTGACAAAGAGGAACCTCAAGGTTAGAGAGCCAACATCTTACTCACTGAGTCATCGTGACCCCCCAACGATATATTGTTATCCTTATATACAATTTGAACAACCAGTATACATTAACTGTATAGTCAAATTAAATTCTTTTCATCAATCACCAAACTGCTAAAGTTTCTAATTCCTGTGTAAGATGATTGACTGCCATAATTGATCAACATACTAAAATCTAAAACTTATAAGACAATGGGGAAACCACACCAGAAATCCAGAGAACTCCTGGTTAGCAAGCCATCATATCACCCAATGACCCACCAGCACTCCAATAATTAATTTTAACCTCTGTAGAACACCCAATTTAGTCATATGAAATAAAATTAAATGTACTAACATCCTCTTATTAGGCAAATAATGAAGGCAGGCATACGCCAAGCAGTGTGCTGTCAGGAAAATTTTGCCTGGATAACTGTGTTTCCACCTATTTTCTTTGAATTCAAACTGCCAAGGTTTGTTTTCATGCAAGCCAATGTGTATACAGGACATCAATTTTTTGTCCAGGTGTGTTACTTGTCAATCTGATTAAAACACAGATCCTATTTCGTTTCGTTTTTATAGTTCAAAATTTTGTTTTACTTGTCTTTACTACACTAGGATCTAGAAGAGTTGTTATCATTGATGTGTTCTGAATGGTGTGAGGAATTAGCCAATGAAACGGTCTGTTACAGCGAGCTTTGAGCATGTTTTGCACAGAACTGTGGGTAATCCACTAGTAACATCTGTGCTGATTGGTTAATCAAATGTCTGATGTCATAGGGTCAAAAGCCGCTCGTATGACCTCTGACGCGACCTATCGCTAAAACCGGTCAGATTTTCATGTAGTGTAGGCCATCGAAAATATAAAAAAATAAAACGAAATATAGATCTGTATTTTAATCAGATTGGTTCCTTGTCAGACCAGGGGGCAACTGTAAAAAAAATGCAAACAGCAACTGGGGGGTGGGGTGGGTCTGCCAGCCGAAAAAAGTGCAAGAAAAAGTGCATTTCCGGGTAAGAAAATTGGGTGGTCTAACTGAGTTCTGCAAGAAAAAAAGCATTTCTGGGTAAGAAAATTGGGTGGTCTAACTGAGTTCTGCAAGAAAAAAAGCATTTCCAGGTAAGAAAATTGGGTGGTCTAACTGAGTTCTGCAAAAAAAAAAGCATTTCCGGGTAAGAAAATTGGGTGGTCTAACAGAGTTCTGAAAGAAAAAAAGCATTTCTGGGTAAGAAAATTGGGTGGTCTAATGGGTCCCTGCAAGAAAATTGCATGAAAAGGGATACGAAGTGTTTCAGTTCATATCAATAACAACTCCATCAAAATAGAATCGTATTTTAGACCGTATCCAAAATTATAGTTTACGTCTACAAAAAATAGGGATATAAAATTGAAAGCTATATCCTACTTTTTGCCTCAGTAATTACAATAAATGCGCTGTTTTGAGCTCCAAATGAGTTGACGTTAGGTCATTTGGGTATTATACGACTAGATATCATGTCGGCCAAATGCAACAAAATCTGAATTCTATAGAATTGATATGTAATAACAACGGCAGCTCTAGAAACTACGGCTCTACTCTTTCAATAGGGAATACCGAGGTGTGTCGAATTAGTGGTCGAATCCAAGCGAAGATAAATTCAATTTTAAAATGCTTGAGTCTTGGGTCGCTGGTAAATAAATAATGAAAGAAAATGCTATTCGAATATTTCAAATAAAAGATTTTTAAAAAGATTAGTAAATTAGCCTTAGTGTGGCCTTTTTGACCGGTAGTGCCAGTCGTGAATGAATTAGTTACAGCCTGTTAACCGAGACTTCACAGGGATAACTCTTGGCTACACTTTCGAGGTTATGCTAACTTTGACATGGGTGAGTTTTTAGCCTTTATTATTTTATTTGCAGACTGTCAATACAATTTTATTGCTAGTTCTTGTTCAGACAAGAGCAGTTCTTGCATACACCCCTCAGAATACCCTATAAAACTATGTGATGCCTAGGATTCAAGTGGTTGCTATGCGATATTTCTGACGTGTTGTCAATCATTGTCATTGTCAAATTTAGCATAATTTCCCGTTATCCTAGGCCCAAATCAGTTGCTATTTCACCTCCCCTAGTGACTATATTTTCAAACAATTTCTTGAGACTAATGACTCATTATCAGGCGGATCATGTTATTCAGAATTTGGGCAAACTTTGATTTAAATTGTCCACTTTAAAGTAAACACTGCAGAGTGAAAAAAAAAAAAAAAAATTGTCCACACTGCTTAGTTACGAACAATTTATGATGCCTGTTTATGACTGATTTTCTTCTGTTTTATATATTTCAGAGATGTGTTTGGACGAAGTTTGAAAATAGTGTGATGGTCATTTGAGCAGAATTTCTTGAAGATATTTGACAATAAAGATTTGAGTTGAGGAAGATGACTGAGCACAAAATGAAAAAAAAGTACACTGTAATATTTATATACGCAGTTATTCGCCTTGCTAAAACAGAGGGGTGTTATATATTGTCCAATCGACAGTGTCTAATCCACCAAACAAAACGCAAGATTCACCCTTAAGCATGTTACAATGCCGTGTCGATACTGCTTTTTTCCCTGTCTCGGTGATGGTGTTTGGTAACTATGTTTTTAGGACAATTGTGATACTTAAGTGAATGGTGAACTTTGTGTCGTAAGGTGACGACTGTGATTAACTTTATAATTCCTCCGGGAAAGTGAACTTTAATTTCGTGAAAACCCATGCTTTCTAACATGGCGGATCTCCATAGACATCGTGAACTCTGTGAACCGTGAACTCTGTGAACCGTGAACACTGTGAACCATGAACTCTATGAACTGTGAATTCCGTGACTCATTAACTCTAATTATTGAATTAGAACTGTCAACAAAGAAAACTGTCACCTTGTTTATGTTTGTACTGTAACTCCTGTTTCTTGAATATGTTTATTTACATAAATATTCATTAATATTTCAAAGCCTTATCATTTCATTCAAGTGTTATCCCGTGATTTGATCGACTGTTGTCCTGTCAATTTGGTTTGCCAGCCCACTCCGAATAAACACGTCGTGTGGAGAGGGCCAACATCTTTTTTACCCACAACACCGCAGCATGCCGAGATGAGATTTGGGTAATCTTTTACTTCTTCACATTCTGGTCAAAATTGGTCAACCTGTGATCAGTAGATTTGAGTGGATATGGGAAAGCACAATAAATGATTAGGTACAAGCCTAAGTTCATATATTTTAGCCTGTCTCTGCATATGGGCAGTCTAAGACTATCTTTGCTAATAATTCTGACTCAGAATTTTGTCGAACATCAACTCAATATAAATACTGTATTTATAACATATCGTCTTGTCATTTGTTTTATTGCTCAGCCTTTTAGTAGTTAGGTATTGCACATACTTTTGGGTGGTCTAAAATGAGATATTTCAAGAAACACATTTTCTTGCACAAGATTTTAGGGTGGTCTAATAAGCAACTGTGAGGAACACATTTTTTGCGCATGATTTTTGGGTGGTCAATTAAGCAACTGTGAAGAACACATTTTATTGCGCAAGATTTTAGGGTGGTCTTTCTTAAAAATGATGGTGAATATTTTTTTACGCAAGATTTTAATGGGTGGGTGGTCTACCCAGGTCCAGTGCATATTTTTCGACTTGACGTATGATGGGTTTTTTTACTACTGCCCCCCGGTCAGACCCTACACATTCTACGGTACTGACAAGGTGAGATCTGGATGAAAAATTGCAAGAAACTTTCTATGACAACCACAGGACTCCTTCTTTGTAATTGAGTCTGAGTCCATACTAATGGGCCATCATGGCACTCTCCATTAGAAATAGGTAGTATGGTTGGTAACATTAATTAACATGTACACAATGCATTAAGCATTAATTATGTGACAATATTCCGGAACTCTCTTTATACAAAAAATAACGAGAGCTGCGTATGTGGGGAGTTGTCATTTTGAAGTGTACAGTTGTCTTTTGCACACAATTGAAGTCATAACATGTAACTACGTAAATATAGTGAACATTAAGTTAAATGAAGTGTGCTTATCTAACATCACATGCTGGAAGCAAAAAACTGATTTGCATTAATCTGATCCTTATACTATACTTGATAAATACTTACCTAAATACTTCTTCTGGTACTATAGACCTACCACACTGACCATAAGCATTATTACCTAAACTATACACTGTAATATAGATCATTACATAAACTATACACAGCAAATATAAATATACATTCTTACCTAAACTATACACTGAAATACAAATATGTATTATTATCCAAACTATACACTGAAATATAAATATACATAATCACCTAAACTATACACTGAAATATACATTATAACCTAAACTTTAACTTCACTAGCGGTTAAAATCATGCTTGAACATAAGGCACCTATCACAGATTTTCTATGTTGTGTGATAATTTGTATGTAACAATGTCTGTGACAAGTACCTTATGTTTCAAACACACCACAACCTGAAAATGCAACATAGTGATAGTAAGAGAGAGAGAGACAGAGAGAGAGAGAGATAGAGAAATGAGGCTTAACCTCCACTCGACACAAACTAGGTTATTTCGGGACTAACACATGGTTCAATTTTATTTCAATAATTCGCTTGTGCGTAGGGGTCTTTAGCAGTTGGAGGAAACCGCAGGGCCTGGAGAACCCACGAGTTTGGAAAGGCAACCCTACTCCTTGTCACGTACAACCGGAGATCCGAAACCACACCAGTTGACTCAATGACAGGCTTTATGATACAGCACGCATACGGCCATCCACCCCCTAGTGATAGTAAATCCAAAGTTTAGGTATTGAAATGAAATGGGGTTTAACACCTACTGTTCTGCTCCAAGTGCGCTAATGAAGACGGGCATATGCCTTAGTGTGCAATGTAGGACATTTTGCCCTGACAGTGGCACTATGGCCTACTCTTATATCGAATTCCAACTGCCAAGGGTTCTTTTATGTGCACTTCAATGTTTACGCGCGACCTCTGTGTTTCATCCCATCCGAACGACTATACATTGTCTCTGGCCAGGTAATCCATCCTGCACCACTGATAAAGGTGGACCATGCTGGAAAAGTCAGATGAACTTTCTCGGTCTACAAAGGGATTGAACACACAGTTACTGGAAACAATAGTCTATGAGCAATGGTTATGTAACCAGGAGATTGAACATCAAATCAATACTCAATTCAAATATGTCAATAATTAATTGTATTATACGTACCTCCCTCTCCCTCAGTAACAATAACTGTATGTGCTCTACCACATGACATACTGCTCACCCTGGTGGTATCTGGATCTTTCAAGGGGAGATAAATCTGTGTAGGTCCTATGACATAGTCTAATATTCTGCCTGTAACATCAAAATTATAATGGCTACAGAGAGAGAGAGAGAAATGGGGTTTAACGTCTACTCGACACACAATAGGTAATTTCAGGACTAACAATATGGTTCAGTTTTATTTCAATAATTTGCTTGCGCGTAGGGGTCTTTAGCAGTGGGAGGAAACCGGAGGACCCGGAGAAAACCCACAAGGTTGGACAGGCGACCTTACTCCTTGTACATCAAACGGGCACAAAACTAGACCCAACTTTTCTACAGTTTAGCGTAGAATATGATGCCGGGTAGTAATCAGTCCGCTGTTAGGGTTCAAAGGTCAAATGAGTTCTTTAACATCTAAAGTAAATACGCAGCCATTCTTGTATCAAGAAAAAAGGGTGAAAATGATCGAAACTAATCACTTTTTCAAATAAAATTGTAAACTTGTCAAAACACTATGCTTTAAAAAAAAAGAAACTAGTAATTAATGCATTTCCCAATTGCTCAATACCACTTAAAGATTACTGAACATTTCAGTTGAGTATCTAGCATACTGCCCTATGACTTTTGTTGTTGTATCAGTCTACAATACCGAAATGAAATGAAATGGGTTTAACGTTCTACTGTTTTGCTCCGAACTGGGCTAATGAAGACGGGCATACGCCATACAGTGTGCTATGAGGGGAATTTTGCCCGGACAGCGGCACTACAGCCTACTCTTATATCGATTTCCAACTGCCAAGGGATCTTTTATGTGCACGCCAATGTGTACACGGGACCTTGGTTTTTCGTCCCATCTGATCGACAAGACAGCTTTCCTTGTCAGCCCCTCCGTCCTGCATCACTGACAAGGGAGAACCACGCCGGAAAATCTGGATGAACTTTCTCGGCCAATGCAGGGATCGAACACCTGACCTCCAGGCTAGCGAGCCAGCGTCTTACCCACTTAGGTCTACAATACCTGTACCTGTACAATAGCACAGCCAGCTCCTAAGTAGTGAAGGTGTGGTGTTCGATGCAAGTCAAGGAATACTCTTAGGGGGTGGGTGTGGTTAGTAATATTATGGTCCTTAATAGTTTAACTGATTTTATCCAGGGAAAACATAACTTTTGAACAATATCACAGTTGTATATTCCAACAACCCTGTTACTTTTGTATTCATTTTTTGATATGGAAACAACATTTGTGATAAGGGGACACAACACTGTACCTGAATTTCTGGGTTGTTCGTGATAACCAATCTGTGAATCTGTGTTTATTCCAGTACCCAGTATAGAATGCTTATTGCCTTTCTTCACAGCATAAACAGTAAAACCATAACCACAGCTAACATCATATACCTAATACAAAACAACACATTTATTCAGGCCTAGATATAATGAACCAGTACTTAACATTTATTCAGGCCTATAATGAACCAGTACTTGACATTTATTCAGGCCTATAATGAACCAGTACCTGACATTTATTCAGGCCTATAATGAACCAGTACTTGACATTTATTCAGGCCTATAATGAACCAGTACCTGACATTTATTCAGGCCTATAATGAACCAGTACCTGACATTTATTCAGGCCTATAATGAACCAGTACCTGACATTTATTCAGGCCTATAATGAACCAGTACCTGACATTTATTCAGGCCTAGATATAATGAACCAGTACCTGACATTTTCAACTTTCTAATGGTCATGTATCAATAACAACAAACACAAAGAGGGAGAAATGAGGTTAAACATCCACTTGAGACAAACTGGGTCATTTTGGGACTAACATATGGTTCAGTTTTATTTCAATAACTCGCTTACACGTAGCAGAGGGAGGAAATCAGAGGACTCTGAGAAATCCCACGAGGTTGGACAGGCGACCCCACTCCTTGTCACGTATTTATACCGAACCATGTCTGTGGTAGGTGCCCTATTTCCTTGCTTGATATCATTCTAATACCAAGTATTACATGCTTATTGCCTTTATAACATCATGCACCACAAAGAATTGTAGCTTTTAAGTTTTATTTGGCAAAAACATCGACAGACACGTCTGAATTCAGTTCCTCCTACAAACAATCCCAGTTACTTTGAAAAAAAATCAATAAAATCTTGAAAACATCATTTCTGTAAGGTGTTTTTTTTTCAGGGGCAATAAGACTAAGAGAGATTGGCAAGTCTGAATTTGATTGGCCAAATAATTAGACCTTCCCACCACCATACTCATTGAGCCAGCATGTCTCCAATCTTGATAAAATAAAATGGGCTAATGAAGACGAACATATGCCACACAGTGTGCTATGAGGGAAATTTTGCCTGGGCAGTGGAACTATGGCCTACTCTTATATCGAATTCCAACTGCCAGGGCATCTTCTACATGTACAGCAATGTATACACAGGGCCTTGGTTTTTCGTGCCATCCGAATGACTAGACAGCTGTCCTTGTCAGGCTTTCAGTCCTGCAACACTGACAAGGGGAAACCACGTCGGAAAATCTCAATGACTTTACGGAGCCAATGCAGGGATCAAACGCACGACCTCCAGGATAGCGAGCCAGCATCTCACCCACTTAGCCACCGTGGCTCTCAATATTTCTTTAAAAGGATTCTTCAGATTGTATGACAACACCCCCCCCCCACCCCAATAAGGAAGCGAGTTAAAGAGCTTTAAGAAGACTACAAACCTTCATGTTATTTTCATTCATCGATTTCATTCTCGATGGAGTTTTAACCTGCATAAGAGGTCGATGACCTTTTTCTGGTCGTAGAAATTTAGCTATACCTACAATAAAGAAAATATCTGATTATTTCCTATTAAGTGTGAATGAATGATCACTTGCACTGGTCACTTTATAGCATTTTATACTTCAATAAAGGGGAGCCACGCGGGCTAAGTGAGTAAGACGTTGGCTCGCTAACCTGGAGGTCCAATATTTGATCCCTGCATTGGACAACAAATTAAGGCACCAGTAGCGTTACAACTTCATGCTTATAATCGCTTGGCTAGATGTGGTGGATTTTACAAATTAATAATATTGCAACTTTACAAAACTAAAGCACCAGTAGCGGCACAATGTCATTCATATATTCACCAGACTTGTTTGACCATAATACACAAAGACTAGACGCAGTGGGCTGTAGGCTTTATACACGAGAGAAAAATGGGGTTTAACAAACTAGGCCATTTCGGGACTAACATATGGTTCAATTTTATTTCAATAATTCACTTGTGCTAGGGGTCTTTAGTGGTGGGAGGAAACCGCAGTACCCAGAGAAAGCCCACCTACAACCAGGGAATCGAAACAACGCCAATTGGGGCTTTTATAAATTAATATTATTGCAACTTTAAGATTTCAGCGAAAATACAGACCTAAAGCGCCAGTAGCAGCACAACCCCATACATATACTCGCTGGGCTTGTTTCGCGTTCTCTCCTATATACTGAGTTATCTCCTCCTTGATGTCCTCTCTTTTTAATATTCTCTGTTTATATGAACCAGCTGATCTGTTTAGTGTGAACAGGGTATCTTTAACACGCAGTAGTTGTTTCAGCTGATTTAAAACTGTCTGATGTATATTCGTCTTCATGGTCGCTTACTAGCAATCAAATCTTTCAACTGAAATAAAACATGTACAAGTAGACTGAATGATCGTCAACACTGAATCCTACTGCCATTTGAGAATTATATACATGCATGTCATGTCATTTTTCATTTATATTAATGAGAGAGAGAGAGAGAGAGAGAGAGAGAGAGAGAGAGAGAGAGAGGGAGAAATGGGGTTTAACATCCTCTTGACACAAAATAGGTCATTTCAGGACTAACACATGGTTCAATTTTATTTCAATAATTCACTTGTGCGTAGGGTTCTTTAGCAGTGGGAGGAAACCGGAGGACCAGAAAAAACCCACAAGGTTGGACAGGCGATCCTACTCCTTGTCACATACAATTGGGGAAGTAACTGACATGGGGATACGAGTAAGTTAAGTTTAATTCAGTATTACTGTATTGAAAAATGCATTTCAACTCGCTTCGGCTTAATTGAGAAAAGGGAATTTGCAAATTTTCAATAATATACCATCATCAGTGAGGCCTTTAAGTACATGTAGGTTAGTGAACTTTTGGCCCATTAGTCCTTCTGACACACCGATTCATAGCACTTATTAAAGGGAAGTAATTCTTTTGATCAATTTTAGTTCAGTATTGTGTTTTCGACAAAAAAACATGATTAAGCTTCTGGATCATATCATAAACCATGTAAAAATTCCATTTACTTGAGCTTTTTTTTCTCGGTATACCTCCTTAAGGGTGCAGGCTGTTTCGTACCCTGGCTGTTTCGTACTTAGTTCATTCGTACCGCAGATTGATTCGTACTTTTCCTATGTTGTTGAAATAAATTGAAATAGCTTGAAAGAATTTGAAAAAAAGGTGAAACATAATTAAACGATTTGATAAAATCTAACTGCTACTGCTACGCGAAATATATAAAAATGGCTGCCAAACCAGAAGTAGAACATGCATGTGATTTGTACCACAAATTGTTTCGTACCTTTTCCTATACTGGTATGTTGTTGAAATAAATTGAAATAAACCTATATGTTGTTGAAATAAATTGAAATAATAAACGACTGAAAAAAACAAACACTGCTACCTGCCTTTTGTAGTTTTTAACCTGGTGTTGATTACTGAACCCATTCTGCTGAGTGAGTTGCGAAAATTAACGATAATTGATTGGCGATTGTTAAAGTGGTTAAAAAAAATGATTAAAAAATATTTAATCTGGTGTTGATTATTGAACACATTCTGCCAGTCCCAAGTCCGGATGCAAAAGGAGGAGAGTTAGGTTAAGCTTAAAGTAGGCAAGTCTCTAACTCAATCTTATCCAAAATCTTCGACATTGAAAACACGATTTATTTGTTGTTGAAATAAATTGAAATAATAAACGACTGAAAAAAACAAACACTGCTACCTGCCTTTTGTAGTTTTTAACCTGGTGTTGATTACTGAACCCATTCTGCTGAGTGAGTTGCGAAAATTAACGATAATTGATTGGCGATTGTTAAAGTGGTTAAAAAAAATGATTAAAAAATATTTAATCTGGTGTTGATTATTGAACACATTCTGCCAGTCCCAAGTCCGGATGCAAAAGGAGGAGAGTTAGGTTAAGCTTAAAGTAGGCAAGTCTCTAACTCAATCTTATCCAAAATCTTCGACATTGAAAACACGATTTATTTGTCAATTTAAATCAACATTGATGTTGTGATCTTACCGGGAAAAGGTAGGCTCCTGGTCCCAAGTTCACAAATCATTCTCAGACTTAAGTTAAGAATTTACTCAAAATTGTTCGCCTTATTGTAACTAAAATATATCCCTTTATAAAAGTTTTGTTGTTTTAGTGTATCAAATACACCTATAAGAAACTTTGTGCAAAGTTATGTGTTTCTGGATGAAAAATATTTCTCATAAACAGTGTTTGAAAGTTGAGTAAATTCTTAACTTAAGTCTGAGAATGATTTGTGAACTTGGGGCCATATATCCAATATTTAAGACAAAATAAACATTTTACAATTGGTACACGAATCGTGTACCATAATACGTTTCAGCGCTATTTGTAATAAGGGACTCGAAAACGAGGCTAGGCATATTACATAAGTCATGTCAAACGGTGACGCTATATTCTTATGGTACCCGGACCAGTCGGACCAAAGACCAGTCGGACCAAGACCAGTCGGACCAAAAAAAAGACCACTCGGACCAACTTAAAAGACCAGTCGGACCAACCCAAAAGACCACTCGGACCAATATTTATGTTGCCCCTCGGACCAATTAATTTATGTTGGAAGACCACTCGGACCAATACTTGCCTCTCGGACCAATCGATTTATGTTGGAAGACCACTTGTACCAATCGATTTATGTTGCCTCTCGGGCCAACCCAAAGGATCGCCTCTCGATCCAATTTATGTTGCTTCTCAATCCAATTATTCACTTAAATAAAATACAGATTTTAAATTAAATAAATATTATTTATTAAAAAATAACAATACAAAGAAGCGAATAATTTATAGGTGAATCTATACATAAATTTAGAAATGTCCTCCTTCCTTACATATGTATTACATCAACAATTTATAAAATATTTTTTTTATCTTTAATATGCCCATTGGCATATGGTACAGGTAAGTAGCATATTCATATTTATTACATCAACAATTTATTAAAAAAAAATTTTTTTTTTCAGTTTTTGATATGCCTGTGACATGTCTAGTGACTTATTTGCAGGGACCGTAAATTAAACCACATTTCTTTAATAGTTGGCTTGTGCTGATTGCTTCTTCATTGTATAGTTTCCAAATTGCAAAAAGTTTTCCCTGTTTTGAACGGGTCTGGTTTTTTTTGGTGTCTTATAATTTTCCTTCGGATATCATTTTCATCTGTTGAGGCAGTTGGCTGGCTTCTTTGTATAGTAGGCTTGTCAACAAATAAAATTGTAGATTTCATTTTTTAGCTTTCTGGTTGATGCGATTATTCCAGCATTCGACATCGTTATTTGGCCTGACGAAATTCTCCACACAGTATTTTCTATCCAATTTGTTCTTTGTCAACCTTTTCCTCCAGTTTTGTAAAAGCCGGCAAAATATGCTCCGATGGCAAGGCAAGGAGCTTTCTGAAGAACTTATAAATTTACTAATGACACAATACAGCCTCCTGCCTTGGTCGAACTGAAGAATCGCAAACTATACACGTATCGGACATTTTGACAAATGATAATGAAATATGGTTGGTTGATTTCTGGGGTTTTACGTCCACTTCCACCCATATCATATATACATTTTACATGTTTATATACAATTTAAGCGCTTGGACATTACTCCAATCACACCAATTAAAAATGAATCAATTTTCTTTCATGTGCTTCATCTACTTTATTACCTTGTAACATGGATGAGTACATTATCAACACATACTAATGTATTAATCACTACCCATTTATCGTTGTTTTGTTAATTAATCTTCTTTGATGTGTTTCATTATGATCAAATACCACGGGTAAGTACATAACACTTATAATTTTCGTATTAAAACAAACACAATTTATTAGCTATCCGAGTAGTCATATTAAAACAAACACAATTTATTAAAACAACAATTTATTAGCGGTCCGAGTAGTCATATTAAAACAAACCCAATTTATTAAAACAACAATTTATTAGTGGTCCGGGTAGTCATATTAAAACAAACCCAATTTATTTAAACATCAATTGATTAGTAGTCCGAGTAGTCCTATTAAAACAAACACAATTTATTAAAACAAAACTTTATTATTGGCCCGAGTGGTTTTTTTTGTTTGGTCCGAGTAGTCTTTTTGTATGGTCCGAGTAGTCTTTTAGTTAGGTCCGAGTGGTCTATCAATTGGTCCGAGTGGTCTTGGTCCGAGTGGTCTTTGGTCCGAGTGGTCATGCATTCATTCTTATCTAGAGAGCATGCCCAATAAATACTAACGGCGGTGACTGGAATAACCAAGCGCTGAGATTGAAATTCGAATGAGATTACTGGCATATTTCGTCGAACCTAACTGATTAGAAATTACAGTAAAAAGAGAAACGATTGAATGCAAATCAATATATACATTCATATTACATTATTGTATGCGTTGCGACCCATTTGTGTCAATTTCTAGGTCCCAATTATTAGCGACTTAGCTACATTAAGTGCATGTAAAAGTTCTCTTGTTTTCTTTAAATTAACCAAGGTACGAAACGGCTTATGTGAGGTACGAATTAACTAAGTACGTAACAGCTCGCATTTCTCCATAACATGAAGTTTGGTAATTCGAGACTATATATTATACATCTGGATAATCGAGACAAAATAGCGTTGAAAGTTGTCACCTAAATAAATAGGGAAATCAAACAGGCTTTTTAAATGAAATATGATATTAACCTATTCGGATCTATTCTTAAACTGAATTAATTGTATTTAGAGGCAGACATTCGGTAAGTTTTATGGATAAAAGTCAAAATTTCGACATTTGACGAAATTTCATGGGCGCCGCCATATTAGAATTAATCTACCTCATGCCCAAATGTACGTCATTTATTTTCATTTTCAGAGTACAACTTCCTCTGTTTTGAAAATAAAATATTTTCCATGACTCAATGTATATCATTTAAGTGACGACAAATCTGATCAAAGGTGAAATATTGTATTTAAAACACAGGATACGAACAACGGTTTCTACGTACCTGTGAAACTGTGGGTAAAAAAATAAATTCGTGTGCAAAATCTTACTTCCGTTTCAGAAAATAAAATAGAAATCGCACAAATCTCGATTTTCATCCCTGTATATTTGTGATTTCTGTACTAATAAAAGTAAGTTGTACGTCTGTATTCTACACTGCTGATTATTTGTCTTCAGAAAACAAGTTTGTTTTGGTATTTTGTAACCAATTTTCGGTTTCTTTGTGAAGAAGAGAATGGACAAAATCGCTACTGCTACTGTCTGAGTCTTGGTAAACTTTAAAAAGATTTCTTCGATTATGAACAAACTACTTAACTTTGGTTATTATAAACTTACCTGTGTGTTTGTAAGGCTGACCTTAAAAATATCTTTGTTTCACCAAACCCGACCCACAATCGAGGAGAAGGGTCGGTAGGTCGGGGTTTTTTTTCAGATTTTTTTTTAAGAGCTAATTTGACAGCTTGATAATTTTCCGGGTGCAAACATTCGTCTTCTTTTAGCCTATTGTCAAACAAATCAATGACATCGGGATTTTTCGTGATGCACGACTCGCACATGAATTGCCAGAAACTGACGTTTGAAACTCCCTCAACATGTTTTTTAACGATCGTGCGGGTTGTGCCTTCATTTTTCTCGAAAACGGATATTCAATATCCGTTTTCGAGAAAAATAGAGGCAGAATCATTTCGTTGGAATGGACGTGCTTTCGTCTACAACCATTTTGTTGAGAAGCGACACCTATGATGCTTTCGTCTTGATCAACCAGTTTCAATAATGAATCAAACCATAGTAAAGGGAAATAACTCTTGTGATATATTTCAGGTTGACACACAAAATAAAATAAAAAGATCGCGGAAAAGTGCAATAAAATAATTTAAGTCGGGGGTGGTTTTAGTTAGTCGGTCGCGTTAGGCGAAACAAAGATATTTTTAAGGTCAGCCTAATCAACTCCCGTTCGATAAAATCCATTGCACAACTAATTATCACAATGATGAAAACAAGTTCTCTCTTGAAAAATTGAAATATCATAAACTTTTCCCAGAGAAAAATACCAATATGGAAGATGGTTACGTCACTCTGCGGAGGATATCATTTCGTATTAGGGGTGACAGCATAGGAAATTCAAGTACAATTACGACAAGAATCCATGACCACTCGGACCAAAGACCTCCCGGTTCAAGACCAGTCGGACCAACTGATAGACCACTCAGCCCAAACAAATAGACTACTCGGACCATACAAAAAGACTATACGTACCCAACAGAAAGACGACTCGGACCAATAATATAGTGTTGTTTTAATAAATTGATAATTGCGTTTGTTTTAATATGATTACTCGAACCAATAATAAAGTGTTATTTTAATAAATTGATAATTGCGTTTATTTTAATATGACTACTCGAACCAATAATAAAGTGTTATTTGAATAAATTGCTAATTGTGTGTGTTTTAATATGACTACTCGAACTAATAATAACGTGTTGTTTGAATAAATTGATAATTGTATCCCAAATCGCAAAATATCGAGAACCACACTTGTACAGTAGTCACGTTTAAAAAGGTGCATATTATAAACGTCCGGTCTTCGTATTATTATGGGCTGTTTATATTAATGCATCAAGGGCGGATAACTTGAAAACGTGTCTCCCTCCCCACCATATATTAACCCAGTGGTTAGTGGGGTAGAACGGAATGAAACCACTGGGGATACCGCGAATGTGGAAAAAGTAAAATTAGGCCATCAGATAAGAACAGTATACCCGTATATGTAGAAACTGTCAAAAGTCTGGACATACCGAGTCTCATTGCAAGAGTAAATAAGAAAAATTAGATTGATATTTTTTTTTTTGTCACCATTATTAATTAATTTTAAAACTAATCGTTGATTTATTTTCCGTACACAAAATTGAACTAAACAACTCTAAATATAAGAATTCCGTATAAGAATTATTTGCTTCTTTGTATTGTGATTTAATAATAAATAAATAGCATATTGTCTAGCCTTATAATATAATTTAATTGGTCCGACTGGTCTTGTTTTGGTCCGACTGGTCTTAGTCCGAGTAGTCTTTGGTCCGAGTGGTCTGAATACCTACGACAATTGGCATTGAGTTTGAGCGTTCGCACACATAACTACCCGCATTTTAGTTACCGTCTTTTACATTCTAGTAAAATCTCTGCAAATTTTATAGCTTTACTTTTTGAAATATTTTGTTCTAATTATTTGATTAGCGATTCGGATGGGATAATTTACTTTTGAACACGCATGCCGCACAAACACAACTATACATTTGTTTTACGGGCTTCATCACACTTCAGTCCAAACTGTCGAATTGAGAATTAATGTTCCGCTTCTTACGGGGTTATACGGGCTTAGTAGCATTATATACCCACCCGGGCACCCAATAGGCACGTTGAGGGCTGTCGCAACACGCTTAAAGATGTTACTGAAGCGGTTATTATTCGATCGAAAGAATGCGTATAAAATTAAAAATACACTCAGAGAATTCGGAGGTAAGCTTCATGATCCTTGTTAAATTATTTATAACAGAAAGAAGATAGGATATTTATAGTTTATATATGACTTTATTTTTACGAGTATCCGTGCAATCAGTGATAATTTAATTGTGAAGAAAATTTGATAGACTGGCGATCAATGGTTTCCATATAAATCTCCTATGTAATTGCCTTCAATTGATATTTTTCGTCGCCCAAACCCATATACGATCAAAATGATCGCGCTGTCAAACTATCTTTCAATGTTAACCAACCCCCGCAACAGGTATATTGGATTCGACCAATATGTCACGAAGATATTGTTGACATCGACTCTGTCGAAATTACAAGTAAATTTTCAAATTTTTCAAGAGAGAACTTGTTTTCATCGTTGTGATAATTAGTTGAGCAATGGATTTTATCGAACGGGAGTTCATTACAAACACTCAGGTAAGTTTATAATAACCAAAGTTAAGTAGTTTGTTCATAATCGAAGAAATCTGTTTAAAATTTACGATGGTTCACACAGTAAGTACTACTACTGAGCTAGAACTAGAAGCATAAGAAAATGTTTTAATCCTTACGTTATTTTGCCCATATTTTTGGATCGATTTGATTTTTTTTTTTTTTTTTTTTTTTTTATTATTGTGTAATGTTTTTGTAACGTTACGGCTGGCCTATTCGATTTTCTTGAAGCCTTGTCTAGTTTGTTAATGATATTCAGATTGTGGGACCACTGATCATTAAGTTAAAAATTATTTTCTGATGTTGAGAAATTACATCAAATGAAATTTGAGTGAAACATTGTATGTTATACTATAGGTGTTTCAGATGCAAATTGTTTTCTGGACTTGCAGTAACGACATGGAAATGAAATGGGGTTTAACATCCCATTTTAGTTGACTGGAGGGCATTAATAGACCTACAAGGGTAAAATTTACCAGGACAGAAGCATTTCCGCGTATTATCTTCTTTGAATTCCAACTGAAAATGGTATGAGCAGACAAGTGTATTTTTTCGCCTGATCACGGCGATTGGAATTCGGCAACAGTTTTTTTTATGGTCGATCACGGACAGGCATTCACAGCGATTGACTCGGGAGCGTATGTCACTCTGCAAGCAAATTACCTCGATTACGTAAAATATTCAGCTGAAAATATCTAACATGCTAGATACGGGTGATCGGTTCGGCAAATGGTTCGCCGAGCTGAATTTTCGTTGCAGAGAATACGCACACAGGCGATTTCTTCCAGCAATTTTAAAAATATGCTTGTCTGACCTACATGTAGGTACTAGCTAGGGTCCTATTACAAAAAATGTATGTGCCTGCCAATGTATGCAAAACTTAGCAAATGTAAAATTGGTGATTAGTTGATTCATTTGGATTAATTATATGATTATAAGTATTAAGTACCATACATGTACATCTAGTTATAAGGTGCAGTACAAGGGGCTTTCAAGGAAACATCTACCCATGTACTCTTTGGCATCTACATGTAGTTACACAAACATACATGTATGTAAAAGTACCCTTGCTAATAGGAATTCAATAAAGAATAGACAGCATTCTGACTGTCCAATCAAAATTTCCCTAATAATAATAAAACACTGCATGGTGTATGCCTGTGTCCATACAAGTAGAATGTTAAAAACCCCATTTCATTTTACGGGTATTTATAAAAAAAATAAATTCAGCAAGTAATACTTGAAAATAATACAAATTTACAGATGTAAATAAATGATTTGTAACATGATCTATCTATGTAATATACATGGACAATGTATAACCCAAATGTTCATGTAAATAAATTGTCTTAATCTGCTAAATTACTATCAATTAACATTTATCAGTCATATTTTGTCTATTTATGTAAACAATGAAAACTGTTATTGGCTTTGTTTATTTTCTGTTTTTAATGTTCATGTGAAGAACAACAGATGGTATATGATGTAAATCTAGTTTAAATACATGTATAATTTCATATGATCACAGATCAATATTTATTTCTTGACGCTGCTGGGTTATGTAGGCTAAATACATTTTAATAGATCAGTTACATATAATACATCCTTGTTGGTTAAATACATTTTAATGCA